AATTATCGCGTGTCGCATATCCCGATTAGCGGCGGCGCGCCGGCAATTAGGTCGGCGGACACGAGTGTTAACCTGCAATGAGGATACGCCTAAACACCGCTGCGATGCGCCGAAACGTCGCCGTTGAGTCGTCTGCTGCGTGCACGATCTCACATCCTCAACCTACTGTTGAAACTAACACTCTATGAAGTGTAATAACATTCATGACTTTTAATAACTGTTGTGTACTTCGGTACCTACGTATATGTACTGTTATCCATAAACTGGGTCTAATTTTTACTTGTGTACTATTGACGAAGAGAAGTGGTCACCGCATGCTACCGCGGCCTCCGCGGTCCCCCATTTTTCTGAATCAAATCCGAAGTCTTTGTAAATTCACCTTCCAAGCGCACCCTCTCATAGAGTTCAAAGAGCGTGCCGACCGGAGCGATGTCCAAATTATAAATTCGCATTAGAACGGACGCGCATGGTTCGTTTACCGTTTCATTTCGGTTCAATATCGCCACTCTACTTTGTTCCACACACACCCCTGCCTCCCCGCCCGCCCCCCGCGGCGCGCCCGTGCCTTAAGACGCCGGGAAATATCTGCGTTTTAAGCTATATTTCTTTCATCCCTCATTTTTGCAGTTCGTAGCAATCTGAAATCCAACACGTCCCCCGCAGGGGACTCCCCCTCGGGGTGGCAACCCCCTTACGTATTCTTGTACCCGGATAAAAAAACGATATCTATTTATAAAATGTACGCACGGATGTACGCGGCGTGTGTGGGCGCGGGTTAGCCGCCGCTGTGTGCGTCGCGCGCTCATTTGCAAACCGTCTCCAGAGATAACGTCCTCCGGTCGCTTATCCCTCTCTTATTGCCTCCTTCTTTTCTGATTGCCGCGTGTGTGGAAAAGTTTCGAGTTCTCTTGCTGATGGAAATTGATTTCGCCTCCGAAACGGAAAAGTTATAATACGACTTATTCGGAAAGCGGATTCGTAGTTAGGCAGCGTTACGAGAACGACGCTGTAGTAGGCGGCGAGACTGGCAGTTACCGTAACTTTTGCAATTGAGTTTAAATCCACCGTGTTGCATAGGCCTTAGTTAAAAATTAAAAGTTAATCGTGAGCGAGCAGGAGGCTGTATAAATAGAGAGGAGCGTCGGGGCCGGCGGTGCGGCGGGCGGCGGGCGGGTCGCGCTCACGTATGAACGTAATTATAAAAATTGAAGGCAGCCGGAGGCCGCTCCTCAGATCTCTCCCTCACTCCCGCGCCGTCGTGCATTTTTTCGTACATATTAAACTCCCCGCCGCCCGCTCCCGCGCCCCGCGACTCCTCTTTTTAATCGATTTTCCCGACACAAGGGGTGAGTCCTCTGGGGTGAATGTAATTTTTTATGCGTTTTTTTCCGTCGGAGGAAACCGTCGCCGGAGGTGCCATTACGCCACGGCTTGTTGAGAATATTTTAATTATAAGGCATTAGCGCGTTTTATGATAGCACTCCCGTTCGAGTTTATAAATGATCGAGAGGCGAAGTAATTAAATATTTGAATGCGGCGAGATTTCCTCGGGGAGCGGCAGGAGGCCGAGATAATGGACTATACGCGCCCGCACCGCGCCACTAACGCGTTAATATGATGGATATAAAATTCGATAAAATTATTGCTAAATGGCTCTTGAAAAAGTATAAGATAATGTTGGAAATTTTTTAGGTAATATTAGCTACGTTTTTACTTTATGGTATTTCACATAGGATAGCCAATATTTGTAGAACTTTGAATGATAAAAACATCTACGTAATATTTTGTTGAGTAAAGACCTATTTGTATGTATGTATATATACTAGAATTTAAATAGTTTGCTTACACATGGAAAGTACCAAGATTCAGTAATGTTGACAGGTAATGACGATACCATTAACCGAAGTGACTTATAATTTTTGTTACATAAAACGTATTACATTGTATAGAACACCCAACTATGTTATTCATAGAAGCTTCTGTTCACATAAAAATAAAATGTACTTGACGAAAGGCATTAACAATATTGTAAGGTACACGGTATGCCACCTTTTAATTGCATTAGTGCGGTGGGCGAGCATGAGCAAAGCGGATTCGCGTATTTACACACGTAGCGAGACGACTGACACCTAGGGTTTCAGCGCCACGGCGTCTTAGCCACCCCCTCCCCTGCCCCGCACAAAGCACCCCGCTCCCCGAGCTCGGCACCAGCTTATGTAAGGGATCACAATTTACACATAAAATATTCTTACGAAATACATAATCCAGTTAATACTGAATTTTTCAATCGATTTTTCAATTTGTCAAGTCTTGTTTTCAAAAGATAAAATAGATTCTTCTTAATACTTTTTCGTAAACACAAAATTAGTAATGTGTAGTATTATTTATGTGATAAAAAGATAATTAAACCAATTTTACAAAATTAATACTCTGAACTTAATTTAAGTAGGTCGTCAGCGCAACATAGGGCATTAAACCTGTAGACCATTTAACATAGTTCACCGCGTAAGTAAACTAGTTCCTTCGTAAACAAAGCACAGATCCCGTTACCCTAATTATAGGACACTGGATCCAGTTAGAGCCAATCTCGAATCTCATGAACCGGGCAAACTGATGGATACAAATTATTTTTATGCACAATTTTGTATACAATCTTAGATTTACAGTTGGTACGGTACGTACAGGTTTTCATACAAAAAGAGTAATAAATCCTATTCACGCAAATTAAAAACTATGTGATCGAGTGTGTCGGTCAGGGCTTAAATCGTTTATCGTGAAAAAGTGTTTTTTTTTGTTGTTTCAAACCAGTTGATATTAACTACCAATACATAATACTTATAATAACCAATGCTATTTGATCAAAAAGACAAGTGATAAACATGAAGACGAAGGTTGGGGTTCCACAATTCTAGAGCTGTCGATCAATCGGACGTGGGCCGGCCGATTTCCCAGCACTTGGCGATCTAGTTTAATTACCATCCATCACGCACCGACGTGCGCCGTATCGGCCCATCGGCCACCGGCTACCCAATACGGACTGAATGTAATTGATGCGACTAATACACGTCATTTGCTCAAACATACTGCAACATGGGACGGGCCTGTCTCTCCAACCGGCAGACCCGTTTTGCAGAGAAATGCTTTAGTTAACTAAGTAACAGTAGTTGTTTATTGGCACTTAGAATTTAAGCGAGTTTTCCAATTCGGTTGAAAATTAAATGAGTTAATTATAAGCTGAATAAATCTGCCAACACTCTGTAACTTCAGCTTTTTTAGATGCAAAAACGATATCCGAATGATGGCGCTAAAAAAAATCTGAATATTATTCACATAGTACTTTGAAATATAAGACTGAGAAGCGCTCAGGTCTCAGGCTCAGGCGCTAAGGTCGGTTGCCCAGATCAAGACTTAAAGGCGAATATTTTGTGCAGAAATGTACTCCTAACTGCTGAAGTTGACTAATTAAATGCCTAAAGGTACATAATGGCTACACTCAAATAAAGCTTTTTTACTTAAAAGCATAGCCGAAACTTCGCATTGCACATCGTCAACTCCAAAAATAGACACCTTAATGAGATGTAAATGAAGGAAGGAATAGCCGGCGACTGCTTTCGCGTTATAATAACGCGTAACGACCTACAACGCCGGATTAAGAAGCCCTTTGACTTGGGACTAGCCACCGCGCGAAATATCCAGAACATATGATAGAATTACCAATGCATAATGAACTTTAGAGTCATTGTTTTAAAGTTAATTTTTGTGTAATAGTTTGTAGACGCTTGAACCGATATGCATTCCAGTTGCTGGCACAATAGTGTGGCTATTTTGAAACTAATTGGCAGAAAGGGTTGCGAATTAACGTCAGGGTCGAGCCGCGCCGATGGCGATTACTTTGTATGCTGAATAAATTTTACAACAATTAACTGTACACTGTACACGTCTACTAGCATCTAATTATTTATTCAAGTCTATACTCTAATCATTAAAAACATTATTATGTATTTTTTGTTAGTAAAAGAAAAAACTTTAATACTTCGATTCTAAAATCTAATCGTACACATTATTAAGTGTGTAAGAATTGTCTATTGTCTATTGTTAATATTTTAGGAACATTTCTCAACATCGTTTGTTATTGTCGTTCCGAAAAATATAATAAAACCTGCTTTGTTTTCGTTTCCCAAATATGTACATACATATTGTACATTCATAGAGGAAAAAGTCGCGGCCGCAGACACTGCGAGGACCTGCACTGCTAATAACAACCTAGAATTGACGTGCGCCATCAAGGATCACTCCGGCTTCATTATACGCTCAGTCTGGCACCGGGCCGCAGATAATACGACTTCGCTCTGATATAAAACTTGCGCACCGCGGCCACCGCTATGTATTATGCATTCGTGAATATAAGCCGCATAAAGCAGTCCGAATCAATTACGGAGGCGGGTAGGGCTCGTTAGAAACGCGTCACGCATGTACAATCGCCTCGCGGTAAGGTAAACAGCGTTTATCTGGTGCTAAGCCCATACGAACAATGGGGCATCCAAATTAGGCCTTTATAGTCGGTAGCCTCCCCGGCTGGTGCGAGTGGTCGTTTTACTTTTTGTCGTCGTCGCTGCGCCCGAATCGGGTCTGTCGACTCGCCTAACGACCAGGTTGAATGATGTCGTCTATATTTATTGCATTGCCCTAACGAATTCCATGTCAATTACCAAAATAATATAATCATCTCGGCTCGTGCTTAAAGTAAATGTGTTTTTGCTATGATCGTTTTACTTTGTAAAGGCGTAAACGAGGATCTGCGAAAGGTCAGTTCGCGACTGCGACCCGGGTATCGCCCTAAGTGGATTAACCCCTTTACTACGCGCCCGAGAATCGCTCGACGAGTTAACCGTCACTCTATGGGTCGTTATGATCTTTGTCTTTATTTACATTTTATACTTTACAAAGATTATGTACATAATTTTTTGAAGTTTTCTAACGTAGATTTTCTTTTGTTATAGGTGGCAATCCGAACCCAATGCCGCCACAACCTCAGCCGCAGGGCCTCATAGTTGAGACGGGGAATGGCGCTAGCGTGCTGCAGCTGCCGGCCACCACGCTAGAGCAGATCCGCCACATCGCCTCGGACCCCGGCGCCTCCACGCTGCGACTGCCGCCGCCCGCCACTGAGCCACCGGCGGGCGCGCGAGAGTTGGACTTCGACTTGTGCTACGTGTGCAAGCACTGCAAGGTGGCGTTCCCGTCGCCCGCGCCTCTGCAAGCGCACCAGGCTCGCGCGTGCTATGCAGGGCGTGAGTCGGCCCGCGGCCTCATCCGCGTTGTGCAGCCGGCTCTCGAGTGCCGCGTCTGTCCCAGCGAGCGCTTCCGCACAGCCGCCGATTTCCGCCGGCACACAGAGGCGGAGGGGCATGCAAGACGCGCCGCGCACGCCGTTGGGCAGCCCGCCGGCCCGCCGGAACCGCTCTCGCATGAGATGGAGGACGTCGTGAACCAGATCACGTTGCTGGCGGCGCGCGCAGCGCAGGACTCTGCTGCGCCTAAGGAGGCCGGCGTTGGCTTTTGCGCGCCAGGGCCGCGCTTTCCGCCGCCCGGAGAGCTGCCGCTAGCCAGCGCCGGCCACTAATCCCGTTCCGACGAAATGTATAGTTACTACCCCAGAGCTCCGCGCTCTGTCCGTTGTCCGACAACGCAGCAGTTCACTATTAGCTCTTAACGCTTCTTTTCGTTGAACGTCGCCGGAAGCGGCACTTTCCTAGTTATACATTTAAAGCTTGTAGGTGTGTAAGTGTAGGTTAGCGGGGCGGCGAGCGATCGCCCCGGCCGGCCGCCGCGCTGGGAGGCGGCGGCTGCTCGCTGCACGCGGCGCGCGGCCGCATTCATATCATACGTTAGACAGGTTTTATAATATACGTTTATCGTTGCGGTGCCGCGCGATCCGCGGGCGCGCCGGCGCGGCCCCATCCTTTACCATCATCTCCCAGGAAAGCAAGTTCCTATCTTTATGGCATATAATATTATCGATATTGATAACTACGATTTAATTATTGTTTAAAGCTATGTAATACATACATATAATCGTTTTAATTTTAGGCATAGATACGTTTTCGTAAGAAGTTCCTGACGCATCGTAAATGTATGAAGATATATATAGTGATATACGTATATGATTTTTTAAACATGACGCGAAGTTAGGTACGTACGTTAGGCAGTAGAGCGGAAGGCGATCGCGGCGGTGCCTGCGCAGCCGGCGGGCCGGGCGCTCGCCGGCCGTACTGCCGCGCGACCGCACCGCGTAGGCTTATTGGTAACAATTAATTATAATTATTATCGTAGCAAACTTTTCCAAAACGAACGAACTCGAAACTCGGGCTGCGCGCCAGCGCCCAGCCTACCTCGCAAACAAGTGAGTTTATTTTGGAACTAAGTGTGATTCTTGAATTTTTATTGATATTATAATAATTATTAGTAGAGGCGTAAGTAAGCGCGGAGGCACCGTGGGGCACACCATGCCCCCATCGCCTCGCCGTGTGCGTGAGGTCCCTTATATTTTCGATGGCACAGATCACGGTTATTTAAAGTATTTTACATATTTACATTTTATCTAGCGGAGTCTAATACAATATTTTATCTACGAGCGATCCTACTACAACATTGAGTTTGTTTTTTTAGAGTGCAATGTTTTATTCCACCGGTTGCCGGTCCTTGTTATGTGTACTGTGTGCAGAGCGCCGCCCGCGCGCCGCGTCCGCCTTCCGCCGCACGCGCCACTCTCCGACACTACCACTACCACCAACTTTCTTACTCATTATAATATCTCATCTTATACTTAACTCTGTATAAATCCAATTTTCGTTTAAGACATCCATTTTGTACATTCACTTAATATAACATTAAATATATTTAATATAATAATAGTTAATGCGAAGAAACGTTAAAATATTAGTCGTCAATAAATTCTATGATTCACATCATTATGTTGTTAATTACTATCTATAGAACCATTATTATCCTTACACAAATTATCCTATCAGTAAGAAGATTTTTTTTCTCCCGTATTTCAACCGAGACATAAAAATTATGGGATATCGAGTTGTTATAAGTTATTTACACAAATGAGAACTTTACGTTGCTTTATCCTATTACATTTTTTAATCTAGTACTCTTTGTTTAAATTAATTTCCCCGTAATGGTAGTAAGTCGTGAGAGTGAGGTTATTTGCAATATTTGAGTTAAGAGAGAGGTCGGTGGAAGCGCGCGCAGTGGGCCGGCGGCGCGACAACGCGAAGGCGCGCGTCTTTACGACATTATTATTTAGTTTAGCGTATACAATTTTATTGAGTATATTGAGTACATAGCTATTGAAGTTTGTTGGTGCGACGCTAGGTCGCTAGGCCGCAGATCGCCGCGGCCCTGTTCCCTCCGACCTGTGGGTCGGGAAACGGGAGTCGGGAGTTGGGAGTAATGTAAGTTTGATTTAGCGTAGGTTCACATGTCGGTATTACGATGTTGTGTCTCCGCGGACGAGAGCCCGCGGAATGAATCATGGTTCCTATGTATATTTCAATATTATCGCATCTAGAGTTTCACTATACTTTCCGAAGACAAATTTTAATATTTAAGATTAATTCGGATTAGTCTGTTGTATATGCTACCAGCGGTGCCGGCACGGCTGTTGTTTGTTTATTTTGGCTTTGTTCCGCTTCGTTTTGTATTCCACTGTAAGTTGAACTACTCCAATCTTTTGTATTATTATTTTGTTATTCTCGAAATGATTATTAATGTGCACTTTCATAATTATTTAGATAATGTTGTTACGATGATAAGTTTATATCTTAAAGGTAGCACACGTGTCTATCATAGTTCCTAATACTGAGTATTGTAATTCTAAAATTATTTTAAAAATTCTTTACTAGTGAAATATACCGTTCCTACTATTATAATCTGTAACAAAATTCTATGTAACCATTGTCTTCGAACATGCGTTTGATTATCATATTTAGAAGTTGATTTGTTTCTATGTACCTATAATTTATTTAAGACTATGTTTCTTTTGCGTAAACCAAAGCAAGTGTGTCAATTTCACTGATGGTATATTTTGGTAGTAAGTCAGCGTGGCGTAGTTTCCGTTGCAGCGTGCCGAGCGCGTAGAGCCGCTACGCGTGAGCTACGCGCGAGCTACGCGCCTACGACGCATGCAATCCGTAGCCAACAACAGATTTCGAATACATTGTCAAGTGTAAATGGTAAAAATAAACTCAAAGTTAGTTTATCAGATACTGGAGTTTTATTTTGTGTTATCCTCATTAATATAAACATTTATTGGTACCTAAATATCTATACCTGTCTATCCATCAATCCATCCAACACAAATGTGTAGGTTTTTCAAATAGGCATATTATTTATTCAAAGATAAATTAAATTAATAATTTTTTATGCTTAACAAATAGTTAAATTCTTATTTCGATACTAATTTTATTCCTTACTAAACAATAAGAGCACCAGAACATTCGTTCAATGTTAAGTAGCGAAGTAACATTTTAAATACAATCCATAAATCAATATTAATAATACAAAGAGGAAAGATTTGATTGTTTGTTTGCTGTGTAATAGGCTTCAAACTACTGAACAGATTTTATAAATTATTTCACTGTTGGGAATTTACACTATCCTCGGGAGGCAAAGGCAATATTTATTACTACATTTTGTTTTAAATTCCGAATGGTCGAAGTCGCGTACTTCGACTATACTGCATAAAAGCCAACACAAAAATGTGCTCCTAACTTTAAAAAAAATCTAGTTATATACAGTTATTTCAGTTTAAAGCAACTACTGATGTAAGCTGTTATATAACTTAGGAAAAGTTTTTATAAAGTAACAGAAGAAGTAAGTATTATCTTTATTAAATATGTACAGTGACAATAAATCCTGTAACTAAAAATTAGCATTATATTTAAACAAATTATAGAAAGTAACTAACTTTAAAATATTATCACTTTTTACATGCAAAGCGAATTACCATCATACTCACTTCTTGATATAAGTAGTCAGAGATAGTATTAAAATTAGTATTAGATTCAATAGACCACTGAGCACATAATTTAATCTACAACGGCTAATTATTTAAGTAAAATTAACGATTTCTGTCTCATTAGTAACCTGCTTAGTTCAGCATCATCATTAATAACCCAAAGACAGCCTGCTAGCTGCTGTCTTGTTATAGTTTTTTTCCACAAGAAACGTATGATCACGCGAAAACAATGGTTAATAATAAACAAGACAGTTATCATTCAAACTTATGAAGTATCCAGAAAGATAATGATATAGATAAATTCCTCGTCGACATTTTGAGATACATATAAAACTTATATATCTACAAAAACATCTCCATACTAATGACTATAACTTTCATTCATATTCAACTAGCTGTCACCCGCGACTCCGTCCGGGTAGATATATTATATAAAAAAAACCTAATTAGTGTAGCCCACCCATCCATCCACATCACATCAATCTAAACATTCGCATTTATAATATTAGTAAGTTAAATAAAAACAGCTCTTCAAGGCATAAATTCGAAAAAAAATGAATAAATAGTATCCTATGTCCGTCTCCTGGCTCTATTGATCCGCGCTCTATGATAACAAGCGTCTGAGTAATCTAAGTTTCACCCTATCATTTTTTCTATTGCTAATTATCCTTTCCAGGCGTTGATAGTCCTATAGCTTTTCCAAATCCGGTCGCTATCATTAAAAGCATGCAAGCAAAAAAATAACTCATACTTACATTAAATATCAATCTTAAAAACCTTATCTTACTATCTTAACTAATATTATAAATACGAATCTTCAGAATGGCTCAACGGATCTCATTGAAATTTGGCACAGATACAGAATGTAGGCTAGTAGAACACATAGGCTATGGATGAGTCGCGGGCAACATCTATTAATATTATAAATACGAAGATTTCATTGTTTGAATGGACACAGAATAACGTAGGTTAATTTTAACCGAACCTGCCCAGTTTTTAAAAGGTTAACTAGTTGTAAGTAATATATCTGAAAAAAATTATATATGCCGATTAATTTATTTATATTTTTTAAATTTAAACGAGAAATTACCCTTCGATTTGAAACAGACATCTTGGTTAAGAAATAATGAGTTCCTGTATTTTAATGACAAAGTCGAAGTCCTAATTCACAAGTCTAGAATTGAATTCAACATCATTAATTTAATAAACATTGATGACCAAAAAATGACTAGACACGTAATTATATTCCGTTATTCATTTGCAATTAATAATACTTCAGTTTGGGTTGTAGCGTTTGGCTCATATATTTATTTTAAAAATATTAACATGCTACATTAAAAATATATCTTACTAATATTATAAATGTGAATATTTAGATGGATAGACGCATGTTTGTTTGAAGGCATCCCCAGAACGGCTACAGGCGTCTCGCTATAATTTGGCATATATAGAATAAGCCTGAAAAAACACATAAGCTAATTCAGTGTTTTTATTCCTCGCAGAGGAAACATACCACAGCTGGTTATGTATATTTTATAGCAGTTGTACCTAAATATAAGAAACGTACGTCTCGTATGTACACTTTTCGTTTAACTCTTTACTCATCTTAAATTAACATCTAAGCGAACATTTGATAAAGCACAAAGATTGACATTATGTAAATTGGATTCCGTCAGCTAATATTTACATAAGTGTACTTTAAAAAGGAAAGGGCAA